TTTTTTGGTATCATTAATCTACAATTACATGAGGAACATTATGTTTACTAGATTCCCCCCATCACCAAGTCTCCCCCACATGCCCCATTACAATCACTGTCCATCAGCGTAGTAAGATGCTATAGAATCACTACTTGTCTTCTCTGTGTTGTACAACCCTCCCCGTGCTCCCAATCTAAAGCATTCTTTTGAGATCATTTTTCTCTCAAATGATTCAAAAGCTTTTTTTTTTTACTTTATAGTTAAACATGGTATTGTGTTATTTTATGGAAGACGGCTTTATTACCAAATGTCTAATATAAATAAAGCTTAAATTACAATCATTAACATGTTAGGTAAAAAAGAACACTTAATCCTGGCTCAAAAAAGAACTAAGTGTTTAAATTAAGATGTCCCTTCCAAGGTTTGAGATTTCCATTCAAGAGACATGAATCTCAAATAACACTCATCTCTCAATATTTAAATAATTTGGCAGGTTGTTCACTTTTACACTGGTTTATTTCACAATTAGTTTACTAATGGTAAACTAAGCATAACTTAAACAAATACCGTTGGCAAATTCAACAGATATGCACTTGTCCACACTGAATATTTATACTTGAAAATATTTCTTCTGAGTTGGCATTGTATCAGATGATTGAAAGTATAAAAGACCAAACTATGAATATAACCACTTTCAAACCATTTCCATGCTGACTGAAACCACCATAAAAATATTTAGGTGAAATTACAATAGCTATGTTAATATGAACCAAAAAGCACAAAACATTTGAATAATGAAAGGTTTAATATATGATTCATTTTGCTTTGAACTCAAAATATACTAGCAGATGGAAATACACAAGAAGTATTAAGAGCAGTTATCTCCACAGGGAAGGAATGTGAAACCTTTGTTTTCTTCCCTTGCTGCCTTTCAAATTTCATAATTAGCAGGGTTAAGCTTACATTTAGAAGAAATGAAAAAAGCCCTTGGTAAATCTATTTTCATAATACAAAAAAGAGGGAGGGGGACAAGAGCTGTGGAAATAAATGAGGTATAAGTCCCAGAGATGGGTTCATGATAAACTTGTGGGAATAGCAATTTTTGTCCATACTACTCTTAAAATCTTTTAAGAAAGCCATAGCCATATGGAAGCAACCAAAGTGTTTATCAGTAGATGTGTGGATAAGGATGTGTTATGTATGTATCATGGAATATTATTCAGCCATAAAAAAGAAAAAATCCTGCCATTTGCAACAACATAGATGGACCTCCAGTGTATTATGCTCAGTGAAATAAGCCAGGCAGAGAATGACAAATCCCACATGATTTCACTTACATGTGAAATCTAAAAACAAAATAAACAAAACAGCAATAAACTCACAGACACTGAGAAATGACTGGCTGCTACAGGGAAGGGGCAGGGTTGGTGGGTAAAATAGATAAAGGGGATGAAGAAAAGAAAAAAAAAAACTTCAAGTTGCATACATTAAATATGTATAGCTTTTCATATATCAACCATATATCAACAAAGTGGTTTTCAAAAAAAAAAAGAAAAGAAAAGAAAAGAAAGCCATAGCTACTCTATTTCCAGTGGCAGGACATTAACCAAACTGTGGTCTCCAATATGTGCTACAAATAACACAATACAGTCTGTGTATATATAATATATTTGAATTTCAAGAGAATGGGAGAAATACATCAGCATCTTACTGAAAAGTCTGACTTTTCAGTTAAACCCCATTCGGCCAGCAACAGTAGATTCTCCATATCTGTCATGTACTTCCCTAGTGAAATTTCCTTGTTGCTTCTGAAAAGATTTGGCCAAGAAGAATAAATTATTTTTATAAAAATCACTGTCAAAGGAAAAAAATTCTCTCAAACAGGATTTATTTGGAAACCAGAAAAAATAAATCAAGCTGAATGATTTTTACAATTCAATCACTTGAGTGACTCATTTTTCTGTTGCAAATACCAGTAGTGATTCCCCAGTGTATATGGATTGTTCTAGAGGCTCACAGATGTTACTTTTAAAACAAAGAAGAAACAAATGAACACATATTGGTATACATTGCAAATGGCTCTCCATAAACATTTAAGGAATGAGTGAAATCATGAGAATTTTTTATATTTTTAAACATAAAAGAAAACACCTCCAACTGTTAGAGAAGAAAGCTGCCAGGGAAGTACTAGACAGTATCAGTCTCATCACGTTGTCACCTATAGGATTCCATCCAAACATCCTTTATATTGCAAAAGAGGTATTTTCCTGGTCGGGGGCAGTTTCCTGACTTATGTTATAATTTCACATACTTCCTAAAACTGATATTTTTTAAAATGGTAATGACTTCTCTACTAACCTCTTATGTAGTAACTGATCTATTATCAAACTACTATCAAGTTTCATAATGCTACCTTGTGTTAAGCTTTTCACATCCTGTTATATCATTTACATGGCTCAGATGCTTGACAAGGTATTATCAACCCTATTTTGCAGATGAGGTTATTGAAGAAAAAAATAATAAAGAACTTAAGAAAAAAGACAAAGTTAAAAAAAAAGAAGGCAAGATCACAGGTAAGCTCCAGAAGCAGGAGTAAAACATAGATAGGTTTTGTGACCACCAGTTTCCTCCTTTGTTTCCTCCTTCATTTAGGAAAGTCGCTATCTAGAGGACACTTAAAATACAAATCACTGCCGCCACCCACTCTTCTGCAAGATTTGCTCAAATAAAACAATTAAGTAGACTTTAAAGTTAACAGGAAATGACAGAACCAAAAATAACTGGGGTGTGGTCTCACCTCTGAAGATTTCCAGCTGTGAATAAACACAGACAACTAAGGCCAGACAAGATAATATCAAATCAGGATTTAGTACCCAATACAGTGGACCTCAGCTATATACAGTGGCATCTTACTTTCTTAGAATAAACTTCAACTATTTCACACTCTGGAAAACCCAGAAAAAAAGCAACATAAGTCACCAAGAAGACAAAACTGCTGTGGTCAAGTTCTTGTGGCTACAGTTTTTATATACAAAATAAACCACAACATCCAAAGAGCTTGAAATGTAATGTTTCATTTACGTAAGAGTAATCTTATAAATACACAATATGTGGTAATTTGTAATTTCATTGAAAAACAAACTTTAATGATACAGGTTATAAAATATTCACTTAACTGTGAGCATGCCTAGCAATAAGCTAGCAGCTGCATTTTAACCACATTTTAGTTTACTTCTACATTTTAGGGTCTAAAAGGGTCATTTTAAAAATTCCTTTCTATCTTTTGGAATGCTATGGTGGAAATTACATGCTACAATGGCGATCAGAATTTGAGATTTGTGATGGTCTGGGGATTACCACTAAGCTTCACTCAGATCCTATGTATTCTGACTTCACATACAATTCTGGTTTATCTGGTTTCCCTGCCTACTTCAGTTCAGAAGTGACAGATTACAAAGACATATTTTGACAGATAGAGGACAGTACTGAAGGAGATAAACTAAAAACAGCACTAAACTGGTATAGCTGTGAGGAGTCATTTTAGCACAGGAGGAAACTGCCAACACCCATATACAGCAGAATTCACCGGCCATATTAACAGCACAGGACAGAAATTAATGTACATAATAATGACCTTGACTTATCAAAAAAGGTTGTGTTTAGCATATCCTGAATCTTAAAACAGGATGGGAGGGTACATATATTCTTTGAGTTATATGCTATAAATACTGACATTAAAATTATCAAAATCATTTATCAGCCAAAGGACTAGGTGTCAGTTACATGAACAATTCACGTAAATCCCTAATGAGACCAAACAAATGCTAGGCAGATAAATCTCAAAATTCCCATTATATTTACTAAATACTACATAACTGTGGATAATCAACATTTATGAGCAACACTTACCATGCTGACTTTTTTTAGGGTAAAAACTAAGTTACACACTAGCATTATACAGTGTAGAACAACATTTTTGATGCTTAATGTTTTTAGGAGAAAAAGCCTCTTAAAACACTGAAATTCACTCCCTTCATTGAATATTCAATAGGCTTTCCATTGAAAAAAAAATTATTCTTGCTACTAATCTTGATTTCCTTTCTCCTTCTAATTACCAAAATGACAAAATTAAAGTAATAGTTTCCCCCACTTACAGCTAACGTCTTTATCCTGAGGCCACTAACACAGCTGGGTGGAGGCATATTCCCTTTTTATAAATTGAGTGCTTTCAAACACTCAAGAGAGAGGAGTTGTACTTAAGTCTTATCGCTGAACAAAAGGAGCACATAAATTAGTGGTTATGTTTAAATGGGTATTCTTAGTTTAAGGGCAGAAACAATTACAACGCACAATCCTACAAGTATTAGTAAGAAACACTTTAGTTTATGTTCGACATCTGAATCAGAGAACATCATTCTCCAAGTCTCTGTGGCTAAAAGGAAAATAAAACACCAGCATCACTGAGATCTGCAAACCCCTTTCAAACATCATACAAGGGATTTAACTGTATTTGGTTCCCCATATTGTTTAATAACAGCAGTGACTTGTGACAATCTGGAGGAAGTGGGCCGAAAGGTACAAACAAGGTGTATGTCCTAAAAACGGGGAGGGGGGTGGAGGCGGAGGGGCGAGACGATCGGAACCTTTTAAAGAAGGGGAGCGGCCGAAACCTCCGCCTTGTAAGAATCTACTCAACTCCCTGCCCACATCACCCTCGATGGCTTCGCCAGAAAAGAGGAATCGTTTCTTTTTAAAAAGATGGGAATCGGGCCCTTTCGGGTGGTGGTGCGCGAAGCACTCCCCACCCGACCTGAGGTCCGACACTACGGGGAACAAATCAGCCACCTCCAGCTGGCTGCGGACCCGGCTGCGCCCGGGGCCCGCGGGGGGACACCCCCTCCCGCACCCCGCAGGTCTCCTCCGCGATGGCCCCCGCCGCGCTCCTCGGCCCCCTCCTTCTGCCCCCCGGCCGGGGCCGCTTCCCGCGAGGGCCCGAGCACGGCCCGCCCGCCCGGCACCTTTGACGACGCGCTCGGTGGTGGAGAGGTGGACGTCCCTCCCGGACATGATCCCCTCGGCCTCCTCCTGGCGCCAGGACACCGCCGGACGTGCGCCTCCGCCTTCGTCTCCAGCGGCCTCCGCTCCCCGGGCCAGTCGGCCCACGGAGGGAGGCGGCCGCGGCGGCCCGGCCTCACACCCCACTGACAGGATGGGGCCCGCCCGCCGCTCCTCCAGAGGCGCCGAGTCGGGAGCGCCCGCGACCCCGGCGGAGGGAGGTAACCCGGTCGGCCGCGGCGGCTCGGGGCCGGGCTCACGTGCGCGCGCGCGCCCCCCCGCACGCCGCTCTCCCGACTTCCCGGCGGCGCGCGCGGCCCCGCGGCAGGTCCTGCGCGGTCCCCTGACACCTCGCCCCCGGGCAGCGGGCTGCGCGGCTTAGCCCTTCCCGCGGAAGCCTCGGCGCGCGCGGCCGCTCCCCGCGCACGCGCGCTTCCTGCCGCCCCTCCCGCCGCAGGCAGCCCTCTTGGCCTCTCAGACCGCCTGGCCGCGGCCGGCTCCTCTGCTGCCCGCCGCCGCCCGGGCCTGACACACCTAACACGAGCGCCGAGGGTCCGCACGGGCAGTCCGGGCGAGGCAGCGGCTATCTTGTGACCCGGCCGGGGCGACCAGCAGCCGCTCCGTGGAGCGTGGCCTGTCCCCACGGGGCCACCTTGCCGCGAGCCCCGGAGCTGCCGGACCATCCCCACGGGAGGCCCCCTTCGCTTTCCTCGTCGTCCACCCGCCCTGTCTCTGCGAGTCGTTACCCAGTAGACCCCGCTCCTTCCCACTGTTTACGCTCCCCGACTCACCGAACACATTTAAACCCCTAATTTAGGTTTTCACATTTGTTGAGTGCAGCTGGTACAGTAAGGACATTCGTGTCCATCCTAGTTTCAGTTCAGTAGTTGGAGGGGTGGGGGGGACTCAGTTTCCGGGCGGGATAAGACCCCAGGCCAGGCCCAAGGCCTCCCCATTTCTTTCTATGTCCAAGAGAAAGGGGAGGGCAGCCGCTCTAGGGATCGATCTCTCGGCCAGACCTCGTCTGGGCCAGGAACTGACCTACGCCTTGCCTGTCACCTCCTCGGCTGGAAGCAACCCCGTCCCTCTGACGCAGTGACACACTGACTCCCTGCTCAGGCTTAGTGTAGAACACCATGGGCAATCGATAGTCTTAACAAGCTGGCTCAGCAACCTTTTCTTTTCTCAAATTGTAAGCCTGGAATAGAAACCATCTTACCCGGACTGTCTTCCCCCACCGAGTCTAGTGCCTGGCAAAATCAAAACGATTTTGATAACTAGCTATGAAACTGAGATCCAAGGAAGTATATGCAAATTAGAGGAACATCAGTCTTAACAATTACTGTGGTGGCCAATAAGAAATCATACGTGGCTGTGTACATCTAAATAAAATTAAATATTCAGTTCCTCAAGTACACTAGCCACATTTCAAATGCTCAGTAACTATATGTGACCAGTAGCTACTTTATTGGATGTGGTAGAACAGAACATTCCATTATAGCAGTAAGTTCTTTTGGACAGCTCCTAGCTAAAAGATTATAGGGGTTAGGCCTAAATCTCTATAGATACAGATTTATGTGCTGGGGACACACTGGAGTCAGGCTCTGAAATATGCTTTGGAGTTTTGATTTAAGGCCATCCACAGCAACCCCAGCAAGGCAGGAGCACTTGAGGAGCTGAATAGAATTTGGTTCAGACTTCCACCCAAAAGAATTGTTCAGATATCCTGAGGAAGTTCTGTAACTGGAGCTCCACACCTCTATCAAACAGAACAGATATCTAAAGGTCAAAATTGAATTGGTCCCTGCAGCATATATAATTCATCTGGGAGAATGTAAACAGGAGCTAAAAACAAAAAGTTTAAGAAAACATTGCAAACCAATGTAAAAAGATAAATTATTCAATAATAGTGGTGGGGAAAAAAACCAACTATTTGGATCTCAAGTTGGAGCCACTCCATAACATCAAATAAAGAGAGCCTAGTTTATAGAGTTATATATGAAAAATAAAATTTTAAACAAATCTAGAAGAAAATGAAGACATTATCCTGCTTGGATAATTGTGGTAATTCTGGAGCTAATAGATGCCAACTCCCCACCCCAACATAAGTATGCATTTATCAGATCAAAACCAATTTAGTAAATTCAGATAAGCACTAAGCTCAAAAGCAATGAATCACAAAAGAATGCTGTGTTTAACTACTTGAAAAAAGTAAACAATTAAAAGTCATAAAACCTGGAAATTTGCATCTCATATCAGGGTAAAGAACTTTCAACTATTCAATAAAAGAGCTATACAAGTATGGGCAAAGACCATGAACAAAGAATTCATAAAAGAATAAAATGTAAGGCACCAAACATTTAAAAGTGTTCAACTTCACAAGTAATAAAAACACAAATGAAAACAAGATGCTATTTTTCACATAGCAAATTTGAAAACCTTTTTAAAAGGTGATGCGGTAATAACTTCTCTGGAAAGGGATTCAGCAGACCAATCAAAGAAATCTTTGGCCAAGGGAAATATTCTCAACATAATTAGTCATCGGAAATGCAAAATAAACCATATTGAGATACCACTTCACTAGGCCAGCAGAATAGCTAAAATTAAAAACTCTCAGTACCAAGTGTTGACAAGGTGGGAACAATTGGAACTCTCCTACATTGCTGGTGGGAGAGTAAAATGCTATAACTAGTTCGGAAAACAGTTGGAAGTTTCTTATGAAGTTAAATATATACCTACTCTATGACCTAGTAATTCTACTTCTAGGTATTTTACCCAACAGCAATTATTATACAAATAACAGAATATTACTCAGCCAATAAGAAAAATCATCACTTATACAATATGCATGAATCTTAAAATCACTGTGGTGAGTGAAAGAAGACACAAAGTAGTACATGCTATATGATTTCATTGCACAGGAAAATGGTTAAATGACAAAATCAGATGAAACATTATGCATTATGAAAAAATCATCCTATTTTAGATTAGAAAGATATTTGGTGTGAGAAAACCCTCAGGAGCTAAGGAAAAGTGAAAAAGCTAGAATATAATCATGTACAGCATGGACCCCATTTGTTAACAAATAAGCAAATGCATGCAAAAAAAGTCTAGAAGGAAATATTAATACATTGATTCTATAGGAATTAGGTGCTGACTGTACTAAGCACTCAACACTGCTTGCTGGGTGGTAGGGATAAGGTGATGAGCTAAAGTCAACACAGTTCACACCCTCACAGAGCACCCGTTGATGAGGAAAAAGTGCTAACAGTAGCTACCTCTTGGTGGTATGATTGACTTACAAAAAACAATAATTCTCTGTATTTTACAAATGTTCTATGGTGAGAAAGTATTGCCTTATAACTAGGGGACAGTAAAGGAAAGGGCTCTTGCCTTCCAAAGACCTGTTGTCTGGGCCTACTTCCAGTAGCTTTAAATATTCATTTGCAGGACATTCTGACTTATCTGACTAAAGTAAAACATCTAGAACCACTCAATGAACATACACAAAAAGGAAAACTCTAAGTTCCCTTCCCAGATAATTTTTTAAATGAATAAGACACCATAACTGGTGGTGGTGATGCTTCTAACCATCGCCTTCGCTGTTTGTTCCTGGCTGCATTTGGAGAGTTGCGTTTCATTCAGCTTATACACATACCCACCTGGTCAGGGTCTGCTGTGTTGTTTACTAACAGGTGAATCTGATTCACTTCCCTTTTACTTTCTGCATTATCAGAATAGACTACTTGAACCTACCAAGATTCATGTTTAACTAGCATTCCTAATTTCTTCAAAACTAAATTCCCATCTTACAGGGCCTATGAGACTTGATATATTTTCTTATGAAACTCCCTAGGCACTTCATAAACCCTAATTAAAGGCCAGCTTTTCTGAGAAACAACTATGCTTTTAATTTAACAAAAGCACAGGGAATCTTAGTTTCCCTTGTTGTATAAGTAATCCTGGCTTCAGTTTCTATTTGTATGAAGCCATTAAATATTCAACTTAAGTGTTAAATGCAGACAAGAGAATGGTAGAATATTTTTAAAACTAGAGTAAAATGAGCATTTAAAATATAGCTATACAGGAAAGGTATTTTATAGTGTATAATCTCTAATTTTCTATGAAAAGCACATCATAAATGATTTTATTAATACATATTGTATGGACATCATATACTATATTATATTTTATTCATATCTTCCTATAAGTGCATTTAGGTCTGATGAAATTACCTTGTCATGGACACTCCCCAGTCTTGAGGTCTAAAAAATCAGTGGATTCAGATATACATTTGGAAAATATACATTTTTTTGTAGTTGGAAAAACATGGCCCAAAATAATATCCTACCAATAATAGCCTGATATTGAATTAATAATCTTCTTAGACTTGTAAGTAAAAAAATGCTAATGGAAGTTACGCTGACTGGTAAATATATATTTTTGGTTGATATTCAGGCCAATTTTTGGGCAGTGTGAAAATCTCCCAATAGTGTTTTACCCCTTGGTCTTCCTGGGAAAACCCAATACTTTGAGGACAGGGACTGGGGAGCCCCAAAGCCTGCCACACTCCCTATTACTTTTGTTTGCATCTTTACAAAGCAGGAGAAAATGGCTGCAATCATTACTGGTTACACAATATAGCATAGTGTAAGAAAATAGAATTTAATACCTCTTTCACACCTGGGCTCCAGCATTCCACACAGTAAGATGCCATGGGTGAGTGATACTGGCACTTATCAAATTGCTTAGGTCAAAAATTTAGAGTGGAGGGCCAGGCAGAGGGAGAGGCTCTTTGCCTCACACACCAAATTCTGTCGGCTCACTCCCCCTACAGTCCATGTTTCCATACCACAGATCTTTATAAACAAAAGATACATCTGACATGGCATTCGTCCGTTCAAAACCCTCAAATGGCCCCTTTTCTCCTGAAAGTGGTCAGACTTCCCTAGGTCTTTGAACTCAGCTCAAACCTCTTCTGCTACAGTTCAGACATAGTGACCTTGTTTATACAAACGCCTCCAAAAGGCCAGGCTCGTTTCTGTCCCAGAGTTCTTGCATTTGCAGCCCCTTTTGCTAGGAACGTCCTCCTAGATCTTCACAAAGCTGCCTCATCACTTCAGCTCAGCTCAGTTGCTGTCTCCTGAGACAGGGTGCTCCTGATCAAGGTAGCAGCTGAGGCCATACCAGCGCCGCTCTCTCAATCAGCACTCTCAGTTCATTCGTGTGTGGCCGTTGTTCGGGTCTACCCTCACTCCCTAAGGGGATGTGCCTTTGTCTTGTTCACCGCTGCTGTCATGCGAGTCCCAGCGCCGAGTTAGAGTTCGGTAATTTGTTGATAA